TTGGAATGCAGAAACATTAATACACCTGAACTGTGTCTAGTGTTACAAGTCTGCTATGAAGAAGGCCTAGTATCTCATCACTCTTGGCAACAATACAATGCATGACATCATGCAAATATAAGTCAAGAGTTTTAGTTAGAGCTTTTTTTAATTACCCTTTCAGCTCATCTGTCCTCCTGCCCGTGACTAGGAAACCAATCTCTGTGTGTTACATTAATGAATACCTAAGTTCCTATAATGAGCCTGACCAGCTCTAACTATGAACAGGTTTTGGCTCAGCCCACCTAAATGGGCATATTAGAAATGTATGATGTATTTGTTTATTAATTAAAAAACACAGGTACCATTTCTAAATGTTGACTGGGTTGGCAGCCTACAGATGTCTTCCACTACATGGATACCGTCCTCTGACTCTTTGAGTTTGACAATTGAGTCAATCTGTTGTTCATTTTGATTTTGTTTTTTTAAACTGTAGTTTTCTAACCTGCTGTCTCTGATTTTGAGCTGCCATGGATTACAGATGAAAAGTAGATTCTAGCATATCTAACAATATTAATAAATGAATATACCTCAAACGTGCACTATGAAAAAATGTCTCAGCCTCTTTCTTCTCATAAGTCATGACACTGCTTTCCTTAAGTTGCCTTTACAGTTTAACAGTACCTGTGTCAGTCTCAGCAATACTGTATTTACTTGGTATTGGATCATTACTAAAATTTGCAGTGTTGCACATCACTGATCATTATGCAAACAAGACTAAATGTATTTTGTATGTGTAACTTTTTTTTAGTTAAGTTTATCAGCTGCATGATCAAACTTCTCCCCTACATTGTAAAATAAAAAGATGTACATATATCTGCACATTCTCCTCATATTGTGGCCTAGTTGTCATGGACAGTCCTGCATTCAGCATTAGGCTATAACAAAAAACAAAGAAAATCCACAGGTGATGGCGCTGTGCCAAACATCATGTTTAAATTAAGGAGAAAAGATTTATCATGTTGTTGATGTTGTTGGCTTCTGTCTGGATCTCTTCATCAACACTTCCGCTTCCATCTCTTATTGGAGAAGCTAAAATGTACAGAGAGGAGGGAAGGAAAATAAAAGCTTTGTAGCCTTAGTGATGAGAACAGGGGTTAATGGTCTCATCATGCCATCTCATGTGAGCTTTGACTGTGGTATGATTGTTAAACATTTGTGTTGACAGAGATGCTCACAACCCATATAATGACTACAGCAACTACAGAAAAAATGCACATCTAACATATTCAACCTCAAATAAGCAAACAACACCAGAAGTCTTAAGATTTCAGGTTTAAGTCCTGTGTTCCAGGAACCAAGGCTCTAAGGCTGTAGTGGCACATGTCCATCCAAACAAGGCAGATGAAAAAAATATACTATGGTCTGATGACGTTTTCCTTCTGCTCAGGCTACAGATGGGTATGACTCAAATTTGGCATCAACAACATGACCTCATGTGTCCTTGTGTCAACAGTCAGGCTGCTTGGTAGTGGTGTAATGGTGCGGAAAATGTTTTCTTGGCAAACCATGAGCCCTTAAGACCATCAGTCATGGACTGAATGCGTGTGAATAATGAAGCCAGCCATGTGTGCAGTATCTCCTTACGGCCATCTTCTTACAGCTACTTCTAGCAATGACAATGTGGCATGCCAAAAGCATCCACAGAAGTTTCAAAATGATAGTGCTTTTATTGAACTTCAGTGGCAACATCTTTTAAAGTTCAGCCCAGTGTTAGTATGACATTCACAATATAGTGTTTGCTGAGACATTGTGTAAGAAGTTCAAAAGATTTTTATTGGAACTTTACTTCCTTCATCTCTGAGGGATTATTTTCGTGTGCATGAAATAACCATAAATCAACTTTTTTCATTTTTATTTATTCATTTATTTCTTGGAAGTGAAAACATATTTTGGATTTCCAAATCTGATGCCTGTTCATTGTACATTTTAATAAGATCGAACAGATGTGATGTAGCATGATCCTGAATTATTTGATTCTTCACAGTAGTTGTTGGATTGTGTGATGGACCGAGCTGAAAAAGCAGGAGGAGTCAGGAATTATTAGAAAATTAGGGTTTTCATTTATTTAACTCCAAAAATTATATTTACAAAAGTAATAAATGTTGAATTTATATAAGAGGTCAAAGAAACTAAACTAAACTCGGGCAAAAACTGAACTTAACAAACCAAATGACTGTCCAAACAAACATAACTGACCTATACAAGAAATGACACACAGGGATATATATAATGTCTGATCAGACCACTATGACACACGAGGGGTAACTACACAAAACACAATCGCAAACAACAAAAGATGCAGTACAGTCTGGTTTGTTATAAACTAAACACTAAAGAAGACAATCAACACTACTGAACCCTAATCTCAAATATTTAATTAAGTACAAATACTTTGTTTTTAATGAAAGAAAGCACACATTCTCCCCCTCAGCAGGAAGTGGTGGTACGATCCAACTAGCCCTCTTGTATTTAACAGCTTCAAACCCAAGCCACTGCCTTTTGTCTGACAACTCCCAGGGATCATGGCAGGTAAGAAATAAAAAAAACAAACAAAGTAATGAACTATTATGAATACATAAGTAAACTTACAAATAGAAGAAATGTCCATCCATCCATCTTCTTGGTCGTGGGGTCAGCAGCCTAAGCAGAGAAGCCCAGACCTCGATCTCCCCAGCCACCTCCTCCAGCTTATCCAGGGGAACACCGAGGCATTCCCAGGCCAGCCGAGAGATATAATTTCTCCAGCGTTTCCTGGGTCTGCCCCGGGGCCTCCTCCCGGTGGGACATGCCCGGAACACCTCACCCAGGAGGCATCCTTGTCAGATGCCTGAACCACTTCAGCTGGCTCATTTCGAAGAAGAAATGTATCCAAACCAAACAATAAACTTATTGAAACTTAAGTGTGTTATTGTGTTCAAATAAAAAAATAAAAATACATAGAAGTTACCGACTTTAAAGTGTGGCCATGGGGTTGTGACAACTGCATATTCATATGGTCTAACCTACTCTGGAGAAAGTTTATTTACACAAGATTAAAGGAAGAAGTTAAGCATCTAATATAAAAACCGTTTCATTCTTGCACAAAGAATGTATTTTGATTGGTGCATTTCAATAACATAGCTGCAGTACGAACAAAAGAAATGCAATCACAGACTTTTGATATGACACAAACAGGATAAATGCGATGCACTGGTACCATCTCTGAATATATAGGATAAGATTATATCATATATATGTACTAAGTTTTAATCGCATTCTTGATCTTGTCCTGACGTATGGCATAGAAACTGAACATTTAACAATAGTTCCCGAAAAACATCTTTTATCTTACCATTTCTTAATTACATTTAAACTTAACAGATTTTTTCCTATCCAGGGACAGAAGACAGTATTTACTGTAGATGGTGGTGATGGTGGTATTTACTGTACAGTGCTAGGTGCCAACATATTGATCCTCATGGTGTATGACTCTGGATACTGTGGCTTCATAAAGGCCTCAATGAAGCTTGACATTTTGTTAGGATCAGATGAGCCGGAAACATACCTTAGTTATGCTGCAAAAGGCTTATGTTCGATTTTGAGCTTGAGTGGGGGAGCGGAAAGGAAGTCCACAGGGAGTCGCAAGCTGCTTGTCTACGTATAGTGTTTGCTATCAGTGGAGGCAGAAATAAAAGTATGTGGTACAGCCAGTCTGTGGACTACTCCTGGTTGTGCCGTTAGTGGTCAATCGGCCAACCATGGAGAGGAATGGATTTACAAATAGCTGAAGTGAAAAAAAGCGTTAAAAACAATGAAACGTGAATTACTGCAGCAACGGTCTGTACTTGTATGGTTGCATTTTTGGTGTACTTCACTCAGTGATCACAACAGCATGCAATTATCTCAGGTGACTGAGTTCTGTTTTGGTAACCTAATTCTCTTGTGCCTTTGAAGAACCAAACCTCGATTAGCTTAACCAAGACCCAGGATCATCCCATTGAATAAATCAACGTTGAATGGATGGTGAATGGGGCTATGCATAAGGCCATATCTGAAAATGCTGGCAAACTTGTGTTTTGTGATTGGTGGCCTGTTATCCAACATAGGTTAAACTGTGCTCAGTTTCTTCATGTCTGACTTAAAACCCTGTGCACAATTATCGAGATTTTTTTCAACCTTTATGTTATAATTTATTCACTTAATTTACTATGACACAATACACCCTGTAAATTAAATCATAATCCAATGTGACTACAGTAATACATTATATTGAAAAGTAGCTGACCCTCAGGACGTGCTGCTAATGCTGACACCCTGACTTTTTCAAGTTATTGACAAGTTAACTAGTGACCTATAAGAGCAAAATCAGAGACCATTTAACTAGTTAAAGCCCCTGAAGTTTTTAAAGAGAGCAAAAGGTTGGGGGTCAGAGGGAGAGTTTACTGGATTATGGATTGTGAGCCACAAAAGAGCTTATGACTTGATCTTGGCTCAGTGCAGCTGAACTCTTTCTGCAAGTCCCAGCAAGAAGATCTCTGAGCACCGTTATTCTTTATTACTCAGGAAATTGGTACTGAATGCTAACACACAGACAAACACACACTGTTGCTCAGTTGTGCTAAACAAGCAGTGCAACATGCAAAACTGTATTTGTCACCCATCTTACCCATTTTCATCTACGTTTTGATCACTCTCAGGCTAAATTTAATTCATTATTCCCTTTACATGATGCAAGCTAACCTAGACTTTAACCTTGGTGTCGGCCTGTAACATTTGACTCGATCTTTAGGACTCAATCTCTGTAGTTTATTCTGTGCAGTGTTATCTCTCACAGGCATGCCACCGAAACAACAAACGGTGTATTATCCTCGTTTTTCAACTTCCAGCTAACCAGCCAGCCCAGGCAAGCCAAATTTTCCGGCTGTGCCCGGTTCCCGTTGTCATGGAGATGACGTCATGCTGCAGCACCGGGAGGAACGGCGCAGCCGCGGACGGAGGGAGGGGACGAGGAGCTTAAACCGCAGCCACAGCTCCTCCGCCATTCAGCCAGACTGCCGACTGATCCTGGAGGGCCAGGACTGTTCAATTGCAAATCCGGAGCCCACCGCAAGCTTCCCCCTGTTTCTCCAGCAGCAGCTCTCTGTGAGACACCCCACACCGCAGCGACAAAATGCGTGAGATTGTGCACCTGCAGGCCGGGCAGTGCGGGAACCAGATTGGAGCCAAGGTGAGAAAAACAAACGGATCCTTGTTGGCATGTCGTCTACCTGTTAACTGTAGTCGGTTTTATGTAACGAAACACAAGTTTATCCTTGCTGCTGCTGACGTGTATCCAAGCAAGAGGTCATGCTGCTCACAGGAAATACTAAATAGGTCAGCATAGTGGGGTGGAAAGTCTTGAATAAGCGTACAAAAGCATCCTTCAAGATGGGCGGTGGCAAGTCGAGACGTCCCCATTATTGTCACTTGATGCACTTTTAAATGAACGACAGCACATAAACGGGGACCACGGGGTGTTATCGGTGTAACACAGCATGCTGGATGAAGCTTATCTGTGTGTGAGAATATATTGATTTAGGCTGACAAATCATTATTCGGGAATTTAATGAATGAACTGACAGCAATCGTGTGTGTGTGTGTGTGTGTGTGTGTGTGTGTGTGTGTGTGCAATCGTGTGTGTGTGTGTGTGTGTGTGTGTGTTTGGGGGGGGGGCGACACACTGAGAGGGGTGTGGCTCAGACAGCGAATTGACAGGAACACCGGCAGGCGTGCAGCCGTGCAATTTTTTTTCCACATATGCAATCATATTTAATTATAATAATAAGTAGCGCTTTAGGCTGATATTGTATTACCCATCTCTTAAACCTGTCCTTTAAAGGTGTCTGTGAACCAAAGATGTAAGATGGCTTGAGAAATGTATTACACAAGATTCTGAGGTTGGATTGATAAAAATACTAACAAGGATAATGATTTAAATTCTGATTTTTTTTTTTTTCCTAATTTTTCAATTCATTATTCCCAAATACCATCAGAACAGAGCAAAAGCAGCACGCGTCACACCTTAGGAAATATTTACTCTTATATTATGGCCCTTTGATTAAATTTGTTGTCAATCTTCTAAGGAATTAATCACTTGGTTGAGCTTCTATGGTTTAACAAGTACAGCAGGATATAAATAGCGTTGAATTTAGCTGTCGGCATTTGAATGTCTCGACACTGCCACAGCACGCATTTAACTGCTCTCTGGCTTGTCTGTCTCTAATCGACCTGTCTGCAGTTCTGGGAGGTGATCAGTGATGAGCACGGCATCGACCCAACAGGAACCTACCACGGAGACAGTGACCTGCAGCTGGATAGAATCAACGTCTACTACAATGAAGCTTCAGGTTGGAACTTTTGAAAGGCGCCTGTTCACTGTATGTGTCGATCTGAAATCCACACTTTTAAGCTTAAATTTCAAAACTTACATTTAACTACTGATTTTATCTACTGTTCTGATTTTATCTGTTTTGATTTTATATACAGTTTTGTTTGTTTGTTTGTTAATTAGTTAGTTTGTTTGCTTTTTTTAATCAATTTTAAATCATGCTTTTTATTTGTTTTTGTTTCTAATGTCTCTGTAAAGCACTTTGAATCACCTTGTTGTTGAATTGTGCTATACAAATAAACTTGCCTTGCCTTTGCTTTCGAATAGTCTGTATTTGACCATTTTTAACACGTGACTTTGTATTGCAGGTGGAAAATATGTGCCGAGGGCCATCTTAGTAGATCTGGAACCAGGCACTATGGACTCTGTCCGCTCTGGGCCTTTCGGACAGATCTTCAGGCCAGACAACTTTGTCTTTGGTATGGGATAAACCACACAGACACACACAAAAACACACATAATTACATGCCTTATTGATTATACAGAATATAATGATAGCTGAAGTACTGGCTTTGACAAGTAAACCGTTTAAATAACAAACTTTGACATTTTGATAGCTAAATATACTTCTAGACAAACAAACCATGGCTCAGCCGATTACAATGAACTTGCTCCTTCCAGGTCAGAGTGGAGCGGGTAATAACTGGGCGAAGGGCCACTACACGGAGGGAGCCGAGCTGGTAGACTCTGTTCTGGATGTGGTGAGGAAGGAGGCTGAGAGCTGCGACTGCCTTCAGGGCTTCCAGCTCACACACTCTCTGGGTGGCGGTACTGGCTCTGGTATGGGAACTCTGCTAATCAGCAAGATCCGTGAGGAGTATCCAGATCGTATCATGAACACCTTCAGTGTGGTGCCCTCTCCTAAGGTAGAGTGATTATGCAAACCATCTTTGCTGGCATCCGTTCGTCTCCCTTTGGTTTTCCTGATCTTTGCCTTTTCTGTCTCCAGGTGTCAGACACAGTGGTGGAGCCCTACAACGCCACACTGTCTGTCCACCAGCTGGTTGAAAACACAGACGAGACTTACTGTATTGACAACGAGGCCCTGTATGACATCTGCTTCCGCACCCTCAAGCTCACCACTCCCACTTACGGAGACCTTAACCACCTGGTCTCCGCCACCATGAGTGGGGTCACGACTTGCCTTCGTTTCCCCGGTCAGCTCAACGCTGACCTCCGCAAGCTGGCTGTCAACATGGTTCCCTTCCCTCGTCTGCACTTCTTCATGCCCGGCTTTGCTCCCCTCACCAGCAGGGGTAGCCAGCAGTACAGAGCCCTCTCTGTGCCCGAACTCACTCAGCAGATGTTCGATGCCAAGAACATGATGGCTGCCTGCGACCCACGCCACGGCCGCTACCTCACCGTGGCCGCTGTGTTCCGAGGGCGCATGTCCATGAAGGAGGTGGATGAGCAGATGCTGAATGTGCAGAATAAAAACAGCAGCTACTTCGTGGAGTGGATCCCCAACAACGTCAAGACAGCCGTGTGCGACATCCCGCCCCGTGGCCTCAAGATGGCCGCGACCTTTATCGGCAACAGCACTGCTATCCAGGAGCTGTTCAAACGCATCTCTGAGCAGTTCACGGCCATGTTCCGCCGCAAGGCCTTCCTCCACTGGTACACTGGCGAGGGTATGGATGAGATGGAGTTCACTGAAGCGGAGAGCAACATGAACGACTTGGTGTCCGAGTACCAGCAGTACCAGGATGCTACAGCCGAGGAGGGAGAGTTTGAGGAGGAGGGAGAGGAGGAGGTGGCCTAAGGCTGAAGTCACTCATTGTTTCTCATCTGCACTCATGACTCCATCCAACCATCCATCCACTCATTCCGGTCCTACTCTGCTCTCTTTTTCTTTTCCTAGAGCACTGTCCTTTCCCAGTTTTCTTGTTCCTGTATTTTCTTAGTTCTTCCCGTTTCTGTCTGCCTCTTCTCCTCATATCTCTTGACCCTGTCCCCCTTCCTGCCAGAGTAGGACTCACACTTTAAACATGTAAACACAGTGCTCTTTTAGAGGTAGCTAACACAGATGTGTGCTTGTGGGTTATTTGTTAAATTGTTTTTATTTTGGAGGGTTTGTTTTGCTTAGTGTTTGTTAATTATCATCGGTTAAACAATTGCATACCTGGAACACATTCACTTCATTCAAATATTATGACTTGTGTAATTTGACATTGATTAAAATACATTTGTGGGAAAAATATCCATTTGTGTATTTACTTTTTTCTCTCACATTTGAAGTTGGTAAATGGCCTGTATTTGTATAGCGCTTTACATAGTCCCTAAGGACCCCAAAGCGCTTTACACACCCAGTCATCCACCCATTCACACACACACATTCACACAAGTTCACTCTGATACACTATTATTAAAATAATACTTCAGTCTGGAAGAGAAAGAACTTGATTTTAACTTTCAGCCTCGATGTCACAGGAAGTAAATCAAAATGGAGCCCTACAACAGATTTAGGCAGTGTGGCTGCAGCAACACAAGGAGGCAGTATGACATTTGTGAGTGTGGTTCTTTTCTGAGCAGGATGTGCATGTGTTATTGTCGCCTCACTACTTCAGTATTTTGTTATGGTGTTCAGTTCTAATTCCTGCTTATGTGAGCAGTATCAAGAAACATATTTAGCTTTCTATATCGGTTATATGATTTATACTAAAGTGAAACCAGCACCTTTCAGTTCCTCAGTAAAGGCTGCCATTACGTTGGCACTCGGGGAAAGGTTTAATACAGAGTGATTTATCAACAGGTTCCTGGCAACTGTTCTAATGTTAAAGTAAAGACTTATCCATTTTAAAAACGTAAATATGCAAATTTCCCAAAGTTTTTTGTAAGTTCTTTACTTTTGCAGCTGCTAATGTGAATATGTGGTTTTTGTTAAAAGTCAAATTTGCATTTAAAATGCACGAAGAACAAAAAACATTAAACGATAAAGGAATTTTAAGCCAAGTGTCTATAAATGGCCTGAATTTTGATAGGTGGTCTTATAGCAGACGTCATTCACACACGAAAACCACACATACTGACATAGATCAGGAAGTGTTCTGTCATTCCAGTGCTGATTGAGCAGGCTGCTGTTACTGTTGCAGTCTCTGTCACTGTTACATCAGAGGTATGGTTGTCAACTAGTACACCTGCTGAAGACCTCTCTCCTCTTGGATGCCACACATGGACACAGTCGCATTTGGACAGTATGGGCTCCAGACTGAAGTAAGTAATTATGTCATTTTTGTGTGTCGACTTCCATCACCATCAGTATGCCCGTCAGTCTGTTCTTGCGGTTTCTATTACTTCCTCTCGCAACTGCACAGGAAGTTTCCTGTAGCAGTTCTGTCGCCTTCTATCTGTTGCCATATGCTTCACGGTACATTTGTTCTTGTTCACAGCAAAGAGAAAAGTTCCTCTTTCGTTCACACATATGACTCGTTTGTATTACTTGGCTGTTGATTTGTTCTCAACATTACACCTGGTTTATTTTTGTTTATGCTCAGAATCTTCTTCGTTTTGAGAAAATTGATGCTAGACGTGGTGTCAATTCGAAGCACTGTCTCAACATGTATATGACTATATTTGGTGGTTAATGGGTTTTAAGAATAAATTTGTGTCATTGCTCTTAAATCTCTTTCCTGTCAGACAAAACCCTGAGCGAACCTTCTACTGGTTCTTTGAAGCAACTTGCCCTGTAGCCAGAGACAAAGGTGAGGCCTCTGTGGTTTATCATCTGTTGCAGAGCAACTTAGCTACGCAGAGTGATTTGTCAGCACTGGACAAGTTGATTAAAACTGCTCTTCCATTATTTTCTGTAACTGTATAAACCTACGTTTTTTCATTTTCCTACATGACACACAGCACCGATTTGAATTTCAAGCACTTGGCTTCAAAAATAAAAGATGATGTTTTTTATTTATGTATTATAAAATCATTAAAACGTCACCGCTAGTCTTTATAAAGGTGTTTCTGCTTGCACTGAGAATTGTTCATGCTTCCTGTCATGTGATCAAAAAAACCCACACAGCCTGTGTAGTCAAACATGAACTACATAGAAAGATGGTGTAGTGATCCCTCTGACTGAGCAGCTGAGCATGTGCAGAAGACCTTAAATGCTAAATAATGTTTAAAAAGCATTATATTTATACATTTGGAATCATTTGCTACTACTTTTACCTCATTATTTTCTTTATTTTCATCATAGTTATTTTCTAAACTTTTAAAAGGCTGCTACAAAATAACTTCTAAATACATTTTAAATGTAGAATTAGCATTAGTATTTGTCCGCTCACTTATTTTAATGTTACAGATCCTGGACTGCTGTTTCAGTTTCCAGAAGACTTCAATGATGAGGTAGCTTGTGTTTTCCTGCCCTTGTGAACAAACGTAATAATATTTATGCTTTAAATAAAAAAAAAAATAGCCTTTGTTTTGTTTGTGGGGTTTTTTTTACACAAAGTGAGAACCAGTGTTTTAAGTTGTTCAATATGAAGCTTTACTTCTTGTTTCAGTTAAATTCCTGAAACATCAGCTTACTGACATTCTCATCTACAATAGGGGAACACCTTAAAATCATATCATAACATAACATTGTATGTGCTTGTTAACTTACTGGTCCTCTAAACTTCGATGGCATGCCCCCCTCCCCCACTCAGGCCTGAAAAAAAGCACAAAAAAGGTTCATGCCCCACAATTTTTTTTAAATCTTTACAACAACAAAAGCGCTTCCAAATTGAAATTTAATGAATTAAAGTGCTCCACTTGTGTGGCCAAGCTGTAGTTAGATTACTTTCTGCTATGCACCCTGACAGAGATCACAGTATGCATCTAGATTATTTGTCCTGTTAGGTTTTCAAAATTGTTTCCCACTTTCTAGGAGTCCTGTCAAACATTGCCCAGGTTCTGCTTCCCGTATGATATACAAAGGTGAGTAGAATAAACTTGTTGGTTTACTTCAGACTGCATTTCTGTATCATTTGTGTTTCATATCTTGTCTTCTCTCTACATTTGTCTACTCAGAGTGAGAGATGGGGTGGCTGTGCAGCACTTTACTTTTGTTCTAACTGACCTTGAGGGATGTCAACGCTTTGGCTTTTGCCGTCTCACCAACAGCACACATACCTGCCTTTGCATTCTAAGGTACATTTCAACATGTGTTAAAAATATTTTAACACCAATTCTATTTGCATTACTTTCATTTTCAGGATACCGTTGTTAAAAAGTGTTGTGGTTGTGTTATTTTTATCAATGTTATTACAGCTATCTTCCATGGTTTGAAGTGTTTTACAAACTACTCAACAACTTGGCTGACTATCTCTCAAAAGGGCAGGTAAGATTCTCATTTGTAATATTTATCTTCTCCCACTTGTCTCTTAACCGCAGTTAAACTGTTAATAAAAGATGGACATAGCATTTGTTGGTTTGTAAGATCGTATATTGAGACTAATAGCTGAGCGTTTTGTCCATTTCCATTTTCCTACACAAGGATTTGACTGAGAAACCAAGGACAGTGAATACTCTTATGGTAGTAACTTGTCAACTACAACATAGTTACACGTAGCAAATATACTTGCTGTATTGTATTCAACTCTCACAGGATTCTTGAATAATTCTGTATCAAATAAAAGAATGCAGGTTTAAAGCAGTTCTACATTAGCTTCACATTTCCAAGCAAGAGGCTTCATCCATCTGTGTCCATGTAGCATCTATTTCAGTATGCTTAACATGACCACTTCATCTCTTCAACAGACCAGTGAAATGAAAGTTCTTTTGGCATCACTCTACAACCAGCCCCTTCCACTGGCTGCTGGATCCGTCACCCTGCAGATGGTAAGTCTCTAATTAGCCAACAAGAACTTGGAGTCACACAAAACTATACTGCTGTTTTCTGTCAGTGGTTAGTGTGTTGTTGTTTTTTTCTGAGGGAGAGCAGGTTTTGGTCAGCACAGAAGTGTCCCATCCTGTTGGACACTCAGAGAGACAAAAGGGGGTGAGTCCCACAGGAGTTCATGTGGTCTGGAATCACAGCTTTGTAGATACAGACTAACTCCTGCTGGAAAACTACAGTTGTCTGTGCTTGGTGGCTACAGCTGCAGACTAAAACCTTGTGTTTAAACCAAAGCATGCACAACATGCACTAATATCTGGCATTCCTTATAGCCTTTGGAACAATTTGTTTATTAATCCAAAAGCCATAAACATGCCATTATGTTACTGACCCCAACAACTGTTTTGTCTTATAAGAAATGCCTCTGTGTGGCCGAAAGCTGTAACAGGTTTTATTTTATGAATGTTTGTGCTTTTTTGAGTTTCATTCCAAAATAAATTGGTTACCTGAAAAACATATTTACTCACCTTGTACAATTCCTTTGCATTTGCAATGGAGAATATATTTAGAAAGTTTCAGTCCTGGTTGATGGGGAAACTCTTATGATTACAATGGAAAAAGCAGGTGTTACATTAGTAGCATTTTTTTTATGTAGTTCTAAATGTTAGTTGAGTTAAGTCAATTTAAACACATTGCTTTTGCAGAAAAATGCTAATCTTAAAGAGCAACAAAATTAAGTTTAAATCTCATGAAGGATTTCAAGAGTTGAGATTTGAGTTGAGTCAGAGACTGTACATAAAGGATGGACAAAAACACCGTGCTGTCGCAAACCAACAAACCATTGGTTTGTTGACTTCTGTTGTGAAACTTCAGGCTAATCATTTTTCATCAGTGTCCTAGTTTTTCAACAACACCCTATGAGAATCTCCACGCTTGTAAAATAGTGTCTTGTCAAATACTAGCCAAATGCCAAACCATATGCTGATTATTTTTATTATTACATTGGATTCCTAGGTGACTTTAGGATTTATATTTGATTATGATGCTTTGTATCAGCCTCAGATATGTATTTGCATTTTTATGCTTAATCAGTGCTGTATGTGCCTGCTTTATGGGTGGTTGGGTTGGGGAGGAGAGTTTTAAGGCTTGCTGTGTATACTTGATTATATTGCTTGTATCGTGCATCTCAGACATATACTTGTATCTTATAGCCTGTTAAATATTGTTTACTTGCCTAGGGACTGCAAGTGGAACATAGGTAGTAACTAAATATGGTAATGGCATGTGAGGTCAGTAAGTTTGTGCAAAGTTCCTGACAAATACAAAATGCAACTAAACCTAAAACTATTAAAGATGATGTGAAACTGGTGATTGTGGCCACA